GAAGGCTTTGGCAATCTGCAGTACCGGAAGGGTGGTTATGAAATCCTGATTTTCCCTGGAATCGCTGTGGATTTTCCCCGCGATTCCTGCGGATTTTCCCCGGAATTCCTGCCGATTTTCCCCAGAATCCCTGTGGATTTTCCCCGGAATCCCTGTGGATTTTCCCCGGGATTCCTGTGGATTTTCCCTGGAATTTCTGTGGATTTTCCCTGGAATTCCTGCGGATTTTCCCCCAGATTCCTGTGGATTTCCTGCGGATTTTCCCCGGAATTCCTGTGGATTTTTCCCTGGAATTCCTGTGGATTTTCCCCGGGATTCCTGTGGATTTTCCCCGGAATCCCTGTGGATTTCCCCAGAATTCCTGCGTATTTTCTCTGGAATTCCTGCAGATTTTCCCCGGGATTCCTGTGGATATCAAAGATCTTTTTCTGGAAGGCTTTGGCAATCTGCAGTACCGGCAGGGTGGTTATGAAATCCTGATTTTCCCCGGAATCCCTGTGGATTTTCCCCGGAATCCCTGCGGATTTTTCCAGAATCCCTGTGGATTTTCCCTGGAATCCCTGTGGATTTTCCCCGGGATTCCTGCGGATTTTCCCCGGGATTCCTGCGGATTTTCCCCGGGATTCCTGCGGATTTTGCCCAGAATTCCTGCGGATTTTCCCTGGAATCTCTGTGGATTTTCCCCGAATTCCTGTGGATTTTCCCTGGAACTCCTGTGGATCACAAAGATCCTTTTCTAGAAGGGTTTGGCAATCTGCAGTACCGGAAGGGTGGTTATGAAATCCTGATTTTCCCCGGAATCCCTGCGGATTTTCGCCGGAATTCCTGCGGATTTTCCCCAGAATTCCTGTAGATTTTCCCCGGGATTCCTGCGGATTTTCCCCAGAATTCCTGCCGATTTTCCCCGGAATTCCTGTGGGTTTTCCTCGGGATTCCTGTGGATTTTCCCCGGAATCCCTGTGGATTTTCCCCGGAATCCCTGTGGATTTTCCCTGGAATTCCTGTGGATCTCAAAGATCTTTTTCTGGAAGGCTTTGGCAATCTGCAGTACTGGAAGGGTGATTCTAAAAACTTGATTTTCCCTAGAATTCCTGTGGACATCCAGAATCTTTTTGTAGAAAGGTTTGGAATTCTGCAGTGCCGGAAGGGAGGTTATGAAATCCTGATTTTCCCCGGAATCCCTGTGGATTTTCCCCGGAATCCCTGTGGATTTTCCCCGGGATTCCTGTGGATTTTCCCTGGGATTCCTGTGGATTTCCCCGGAATTCCTGTGGATTGTCCCAGAATTCCTATGGATTTTCCCCGGGATCCCTGTGGATTTTCCCTGGGATTCCTGTGGATTTTCCCCGGAATTCCTGCAGATTGTCCCAGAATTCCTGTGGATTTTTGCCGGAATCGCTGCGGATTTTCCCTGGAATCCCTGTGGATTTTCCCCAGAATCCCTGCGAATTTTCCCCAGAATTTCTGCCAATTTTGCCCGGAATCCCTGTGGATTTTGCCCGGAATTCCTGCGGATTTTCCCTGGAATCCCTGTGGATTTTCCGTGGAATTCCTGTAGATTTTCCCTGGAATCCCTGTGGATTTTCCCGGAATTCCTGTGGATATCAAAGATCTTTTTCTGGAAGGCTTTGGCAATCTGCAGTACTGGAAGGGTGGTTATGAATTCCTGTGGATTTCCCCCGGGATTCCTGTGGATTTTCCCCGGGATTCCTGTGGATTTTCCCTGGAATCCCTGTGGATTTTCCCCGGAATTCCTGTGGATTTTCCCCGGGATCCCTGTGGATTTTCCCCGGAATTCCTGCGGATTTTCCCCGGGATCCCTGTGGATTTTCCCCGGAATTCCTGCGGATTTTCCCTGGGATTCCTGCGGATTTTCCCCGGGATTCCTGTAGATTTTCCCCAGGATTCCTGCGGATTTTCCCTGGAATCCCTGTGGATTTTCCCCGGAATTCCTGTGGATTTTCCCCGGAATTCCTGTGGATTTTCCCTGGAATTCCTGTGGATTTTCCCTGGAATTTCTGTGGATTTTCCCCGGGATTCCTGTGGATTTTCCCCGGNCCTGGCACTGCCATTCCTGCCCAGGGTACCCCTGTCCCTGTGCCAGCCCTGCTTGCTGCCTGCGCGGTGATGCACTAACCCAGCAGTAATTTAGAACCTTACTTGTGTCTGTGTGATTTGTAAAGAGTTTAATTTAATGTTTCTCTCTGTGCAAAGGGCACAGCCCCTGGCACTGCCACTCCTTCCCAGGGTACCCCTGTCCTTGTGCCAGCCCTGATCGCTGCCTACATGGCAATGCACTAACCCAGCAGTAATTTAGAACCTTACTTGTGTCTGTGTGATTTGTAAAGAGTTTAATTTAATGCTTCTCTCTGTGCAAAGGGCACAGCCCCTGGCACTGCCATTCCTGCCCAGGGTACCCCTGTCCCTGTGCCAGCCCTGCTCGTTGCCTGCACGGCGATGCACTAAGCCAGCAGTAATTTAGAACCTTACTTGTGTCTGTGTGATTTGTAAAGAATTTAATGTTTCTCTCTGTGCAAAGAGCACAACAGGGCGAGGGCACAGCCCCTGGCACTGCCATTCCTGCCCACGGTACCCCTGTCTGTGTGCCAGCCCTGCTCGCTGCCTGCCTGGTGATGCTGGGATTTGTTGGTGGCTAAATAACTCAGCAGTAATTTAGAACTTTACTTGTACGTGTCTGTGTGATTTGTAAAGAATTTAATGTTTCTCTCTGTGCAAAGGCTCTGCTGGGCACAGCCCCTGGCACTGCCGTTCCTGCCCAGGGTACCTCTGTCCCTGTGCCAGCCCTGCTCGCTGCCTGCCTGGCAATGCGCATCCAGGGATGTGCAAAATAACCCAGCAGTAATTTAGAACCTTACTTGTACGTGTCTGTGTGATTTGTAAAGAGTTTAATTTAATGTTTCTCTCTGTGCAAAGAGCACAGCCCCTGGCACTGCCACTCCTGCCCAGGGTACCCCTGTCCGTGTGCCAGCCCTGCTCGCTGCCTCCATGGCGATGCACTAACCCAGCAGTAATTTAGAACCTTACTTGTGTCTGTGTGATTTGTAGAGAGTTTAATTTAATGTTTCTCTCTGTGCAAAGGCTCTGACGGAGCAGGGTTTGGTGTTCTGCAGTGCTGGAAGGGTGCTTCTAAACTCCTGATTTTCCCCGGAATTCCTGTGGATTTTCCCCGGAATTCCTGTGGATTTTCCCCGGAATTCCTGTGGATTTTCCCTGGAATCTCTGTGGATTTTCCCCGGAATCCCTGTGGTTTTTCCCCGGAATCCCTGCGGATTTTCCCCAGAATTCCTGTGGATCTCAAAGATCCTTTTCTGGAAGGCTTTGGCAATCTGCAGTACCAGAAAGGCGGTTATGAAATCCTGATTTTCTCTGGAATTCCTGTGGATTTTCCCCGGAGTCCCTGCGGATTTTCCCCAGAATTCCTGCGGATTTTCCCCGGGATCCCTGTGGATTTTCCCTGGAATTCCTGTGGATTTTCTCTGGAATTCCTGTGGATCTCAAAGATCTTTTTCTGGAAGGGTTTGGCAATCTGCAGTACTGGAAGGGTGATTCTAAAAACTTGATTTTCCCTGGAATTCCTGTGGACATCCAGGATCTTTTTGTAGAAAGGTTTGGAATTCTGCAGTGCCGGAAGGGCGGTTATGAAATCCTGATTTTCCCCGGAATTCCTGTGGATTTTCCCTGGAATTCCTGCGGATTTTCCCTGGGATTCCTGCGGATTTTCCCTGGGATCCCTGTGGATTTTCCCTGGAATTCCTGTGGATTTTCCCCGGAATTTCTGTGGATTTTCCCTGGAATCCCTATGGATTTTTCCCTGGTATCGCTGTGGATTTTCCCTGGAATTTCTGTGAATTTTTCCCAGAATCCCTGCGGATTTTCCCAGAATTTCTGTGGATTTTCCCTGGAATTCCTGTGGATTTTCGCTGGAATTCCTGCGGATTTTCCCCGGGATTCCTGTGGATTTTCGCCAGAATTCCTGTGGATTTTCCCCGGGATTCCTGCGGATTTTCCCCTGGATCCCTGTGGATTTTCCCCGGGATCCCTGCGGATTTTCCCCGGGATTCCTGTGGATTTTCTCCGGGATTCCTGTGGATTTTCCCCAGGATTCCTGTGGATTTTCTCCGGGATTCCTGTGGATTTTCCCCGGAATCTCTGTGGATTTTCCCCGGAATCCCTGTGGATTTTTCCCTGGAATCCCTGCGGATTTTCCCTGGAATTCCTGTGGATTTTCCCTGGAACTCCTGTGGATTTTCCCTGGAATTCCTGTGGATTTCCCCGGAATCCCTGCGGGTTTTCCCCGGAATTCCTGTGGATTTTCCCCGGAGTTCCTGTAGATTTTCCCTGGGATTCCTGTGGATTTTCCCTGGAATTTCTGCGGATTTCCCCGGAATTCCTGTGGATTGTCCCAGAATTCCTATGGATTTTCCCCGGGATCCCTGTGGATTTTCCCTGGAATTCCTGCGGATTTTCCCCCAGATTCCTGTGGATTTCCTGCGGATTTTCCCCGGAATCCCTGTGGATTTTCCCCGGGATTCCTGTGGATTTTCCCTGGAATTTCTGTGGATTTTCCCCAGAATTTCTGTGGATTTTCCCCGGAATTCCTGTGGATTTTTCCTGGAATCTCTGTAGATTTTCCCCGGGATCCCTGTAGATTTTCCCCAGAATTTCTGCGGATTTCCCCCGGGATTCCTGTGGATTTTCCCCGGGATTCCTGCGGATTTCCCCCGGGATTCCTGTGGATTTTCCCCGGAATTCCTGCAGATTGTCCCAGAATTTCTGTGGATTTTTGCCGGAATCCCTGCGGATTTTCCCTGGAATCCCTGTGGATTTTCCCCGGGATTCCTGTGAATTTTCTGCGTATTTTCCCTGGAATCCCTGTGGATTTCCCCGGAATTCCATTGCATCTCCCGTTCCCTTTCCCCGCAGGTGTCCGTCACCCCAACATCATCTGCGACTGCTGCAAGAAGCACGGCATCCGCGGCATGCGCTGGAAGTGCAAGCTGTGCTTCGACTACGACCTGTGCACGCAGTGCTACATGGGCAACAAGCACGACCTGGCGCACGCCTTCGAGCGCTACGAGACCGCGCACTCGCAGCCGTGAGTCACAATCACCCCCTCCCTCCTGGAGAATAAATAGAAATTTAATAGAATAAATAGAAATTTAATATAAATATTATGTATAATGTAGTATGGTATAGTGGAGTGTAATATAGTATAATATACTATAGTATGGTATAATATAGTATAGTCTAGTATAATATAGTATAGTGTAGTATAGTATAATATAGTATAATATAGTATAGTATAGTATAATATCATATAATATAGTATAGTATAGCATAATATAGTATAGTATAGTGTAATATAGTATAATATCGTATAGTATAGTATAANTGTGCCAGCCCTGCTTGCTGCCTACACGGCGATGCTGGGATTTGTTGGTGGCTAAATAACCCAGCAGTAATTTAGAACCTTACTTGTGTCTGTGTGATTTGTAAAGAGTTTAATTTAATGTTTCTCTCTGTGCAAAGAGCACAGCAGGGCACAGCCCCTGGCACTGCCATTCCTGCCCACGGTACCCCTGTCCCTGTGCCAGCCTCTGCTCGCTGCCTGCACAGCAATGTGCATCCAGGGGTGTGCAAAATAACCCAGCAGTAATTTAGAACCTTACTTGTACGTGTCTGTGTGATTTGTAAAGAGTTTAATTTAATGTTTCTCTCTGTGCAAAGGGCACAGCCCCTGGCACTGCCGTTCCTGCCCATGGCACCCCTGTCCGTGTGCCAGCCCTGCTCGCTGCCTACATGGCAATGCACTAACCCAGCAGTAATTTAGAACCTTACTTGTGTCTGTGTGATTTGTAAAGAGTTTAATTTAATGTTTCTCTCTGTGCAAAGGCTCTGCTGGAGCAGGGTTTGGCGTTCTGCAGTGCTGGAAGGGTCGTTCTAAAATCTCAATTTTCTATGGAATTTGTGTGGATCTCAATGATCCTTTTCTGGAAGGGTTTGGAATTCTGCAGTGCCGGAAGGGAGGTTCTAAGATCGTGATTTTCCCTGGAATTCCTGTGGATTTTCCCTGGAATTCCTGTGGATTTTCCCCAGAATTCCTGTGGATATCAAAGATCTTTTTCTGGAAGGCTTTGGCAATCTGCAGTACCGGAAGGGTGGTTATGAAATCCTGATTTTCCCTGGAATCNCCAAAAAACCACAGCTTTTATTGATGAAGATGTGTTATAAGAATAAACCTATTAATAGAAATTTATAAACCTATCAAATAGGTTCCTGTGATCCAAATGACTTTGGGGGTTACCAAAAACCCCACAGCTTTTACAGATAAATTCATGTGTTATAAAAATATTCACATTTATGTTATAAGGGTTTTGTCATGAACTTTGCCTTGTCAAGGAGGGAGAGGATTTTAAAGGAAAAATCTGAATAAAGGCAGTTCCTGAAATAGGTTTTGGGATCCAGATCACTTTGGAGTTACCATAAAAACCACCATTAATTAATGTATTTTAAGGATACAGCTGGTTTTGTGGTGAATTGTGTCTTGTCAAGGATGGAGAGGATTTTAAAGGAGAAATCTGAATAAAGGCAGTTCCTGAAATAGGTTTTGGGATCCAGATTACTTTGGAGTTACCAAAAAGCCACAGTTTTTACTGATAAAGATGTGTTATAAGAATATCCACATTTATGATATAAGGGTTTTGTCGTGAGCTTTACCTTGTCAAGGATGGAGAGGATTGAAAAGGAAAAAAATCTGAATATTCGTGAAATAGGTTTTGGGATCCAGATTACTTTGGGGTTACCAAAAAACCACTGTTAATTAATGTATTTTAAGGTTACAGCCTGCTTTGTCAATAAATGTGCCTTGTCAAGGAAGGAGAGGATTGAAAGGGAAAAAATCTGAATAAAGGCAATTCCTAAAATAGGTTTTGGGATCCAGATTACTTTGGGGGTCACAAAAAACCACAGTTTTTACTGATAAAGATGTGTTATAAGAATATCCACATTTATGATATAAGGGTTTTGTCATGAACTGTGCCTTGTCAAGGATGGAGAGGATTTTACAGGAGAAGTCTGGATGAAGGCAGTTCCTGGAATAGGTTTTGGGATCCAGATTGCTTTGGGGTTACCATAAAAACACCATTAATGAATGTATTTTAAGGATACAGCTGGTTTTGTGGTGATCTGTGCCTTGTCAAGGATGGAGAGGATTTTAAAGGAGAAATCTGGGTGAAAGCAATTCCTGAAATAGGTTTTGGGATCCAAATTACTTTGGGGGTCACCAAAAAAACACAGTTTTTACTGATAAAGATGTGTTATAAGATTATCCACATTTATGATATAAGGGTTTTGTCGTGAACTTTGCCTTGTCAAGGATGGAGAGGATTGAAAAGGAAAAAATCTGAATATTCCTGAAATAGGTTTTGGGATCCAGATTACTTTGAGGTTACTGAAAAAACCCACTATTAATTAATGTATTTTAAGGATACAGCTGGTTTTGTCTTGAACTGTGCCTTGTCAAGGATGGAGAGGATTTTACAGGAGAAATCTGGGTGAAGGCAGTTCCTGAAATAGGTTTTGGGATCTAGATTATTTTGGAGTTACCAAAAAACCACAGTTTTTACTGATAAAGATGTGTTATAAGAATATCCACATTTATGATATAAGGGTTTGTCATGAACTGTGTCTTGTCAGGGATGGAGAGGATTGAAAAGGAAAAAATCTGAATATTCGTGAAATAGGTTTTGGGATCCAGATTACTTTGGGGTCACCATAAAAACCCCTGTTAATTAATGTATTTTAAGGTTACAGCCTGCTTTGTCAATAAATGTGTCTTGTCAAGGATGGAGAGGATTTTACAGGAGAAATCTGAATAAAGGCAGTTCCTGGAATAGGTTTTGGGCTCTGATCCCAGCCTGGTTCCTCCTGAGCAGCCATCTGTCAGCAATGCCTCCTTTATCCCCTGCTGGAAGGGTTTCAGGAGCAGCTTTGCTGGGGGATTAGAAAACCTGGAATTTCTTGCACTGAGGTCACTTTTTCTGTAGTTCTTGCAGGATCTTTGTGTTTTGGCTTTTCTGGAGGTGAATCTCTGTGTGTCCTGGCTGGCATGTGGGTTTGAAATGAGTTGAAAATCTGCTTTAAGGCTGTGCCTTTGTGAAGGGTTTAATGGGATATTTATTTATTTATTATCATTTTATGGTTTATGGGTTGCCAGTTTACAGGGTGACCATCCCTTTTATTTCTTGTCCCCTTAATTATGTTTATTTCTTAATTATGTTTATTTCTTAATTATGTTTATTTTTATAACAACTTTTCTGCAGCAGAAAATCTCACAAAACACATCAACCGTGTTATGTAGAGTGGTGTGAGGGAGCTCTGGCTTGCTGCTGCGAATTTAAACTTGTTTTTGTTTTAATTTCTCCAGATCAATCAATTTGGAGGGATTAATATTATAATATATAAATTAGATATTTATGTATTATAAATATAATATTTATATGTATATTTAAATATAAATATAAATTAGATATTTATAATATATAAATTATATATAATATATATATAGGCTATATATATATAAGAAATATATATATATATAAAAGGCTGCCACCTTACAGGGTGCCCATCCCTTCTACTTCCCAAAAATCCAAAGTCCTCTTAATTGTGGTTATTTCTTCAGATAAGAACTTTCTGCAGCAGAAAAATGTCACAAAACACATCAACCGTGTTATGTAGAGTGGTGTGAGGGAGCTGTGGCTTGCTGCTGCAAATTTAAACTTGTTTTTATTTTAATTTCTCCAGATCAATCAATTTGGAGGGATTAATATTATATTTATATTTAAATATAAATATAAATATAAATATTATATTTATAATATATAAATGATATATATAATATATATATAGGCTATATATATATAATATATGAAATATATATGTATTTTTTGTATATATATAATATATGAAATATATATATATTTTATATATATATAAATATATATATATAAAAATATATATATATAAATATATAAAAATATAAAAGGCTGCCACCTTACAGGGTGCCCATCCCTTCTACTTCTTGTCCCTTTAATTGTGTTTATTTCTTCAGATAAGAGCTTTTGTTATTAAAGGCAGCACCACAGTGATTAAATTTATCCCAGGGGTGTTTTTGCATCCCACTGGGTAACTTTGGTTGTTATCCAGTATTTGGAGCAAAACATTGAATTAGATTAAAACCTTGATAAGAATCTTTGGCTGAGGAATTCGGTGCTTGCATCAGAATCAGGATTTTGGTGAGGCTGGGGAAGGCGAGGGCACCTCTGGCCCCAGAATTGCAGCAGGACAGGAGATGGAGTTTCTCACAATTTCCCTTTTTAAGGAAAATCAGCTTTCTGAATTGATCAGCTTTGGTTTTTTTGGTCTCCATGGATTCCAGAGGAGGCAGCAGGTGAATGTGAGAGGGTTGGGCTGGGGAATGGCTGCTGTTACGTGATGATCCAAAAAGGGAACTTCTGCCAAGAATAGAATCAGGGGTGGATATTTTGCTATTTAAACATCTTAAGCTCAGCTCGGTGCTTTATTTTACTCTCACTAAGAATCTTTGCAGTGAATCCCATCCCTTGTGAGAGGAAGGCTTTGGAAGAGAGAATTACATTTTCATCGCTTTGTCTTGGGGCTTGGCTCAGACATCTTTGATGAATTATTAGGAAAACATTGAACAGAATGCAGTGAAGAAATCCAGGCTGCTTCAGAGGCTCTGCCCAAATCCACGCTGGTTTTTGGAGCCAGTCTGTAGTGCCTGGCAGTGCAATAAAATGAATTATTTTAGCAGTGGCTCTGAATAGCTGAGCCTTTCCCTCCACTGTCATTATCTTCTTTCATAACAATATCCAGCCTTGGTGGTGCTTAAAGCAGACAAAATCTCCTTCATTTCCCTCCTGCTGAGCTCCAGCCTGGCTAATTAATCAATATTAATTATTAGTCATTACAACAGCAAGGCACAAATAGTCCCTCCCTCTTTTGAAACCCACAGGGTTGGAAACCACAGGTTAAGAAAAGTAAGAGACTTAAGCAATTTGCTGGATAAGTAAACCC